TAATATTCATAGCACTGTCTGAGGCACAACCCGAGTTCGTCAATTCAGCTTCTCTGATTGACGACTGTGCCCTCTGAGAGATACTAATTCCAAGATCTCCTGCGTCATTGTGACTACAGATTACGCCCCTTCCGCCTTACGTGGACATGCGCAGGGGAGAACCCAACACCTGAACATCGCATTGCCGACGCGGCATAGTGGTAAGCACTCTGGCAGCTCACCATCAGAATGGGAGACGAAACCATGAAGCCCACCCAACTCCCCACGAATGTAACCACTGGAGAGTCCCGACACCACCTCTACGTTGAACAGTAGAACGCAGACGAATCCACTACTGAGCACTTCACATCCCCTTGCGAAAAAAAAAGCTTAATTGACCGTAGTCTACAAAGTCCTGAGTGCATAGAAAATGAATGGCACAATCAGATCAACAAGGTTATCTTTCGTGAAAAAGAGGCTGAATAAGACAATTCAGAACAAAACGGAGCTAATCGAAGGCCTTCAGAAACTCCTCGGCACACAGGCGGCCACGAGAGTTCACCGCGAGTCGCATTTCTGAGAGTTCTTTGTCAATCTCTTCCATGAATGTAATGATGAAATCGACAAGTTTGTTCTTCAGCATCTTTTCCGTGTGGAAGTTTGTTATCAGGAATGTTATGTCGTATCCCTTAAATTAATCGACAGAAAGAGAAGGTAAGATAGTGAACGTCGTTACGTTGACTAATATGAGTAAAAGGATTTTACCCAAAATACAACAATATAATCAACGTACCCAGCTCATCTGGGACACAAATTACGAGCACGTTGACAAGAGACACATTTCCACTTAACTAGAACCACGTATAACACCCTCGCAGTGGATACTTAGTTTTAGAATTTCAGGTTCTCGCCTTTTGAAAATGAAGCCTGCTTGAAATAATTTCCTAGCTTTTTTAGATGCATTGAAAGAGTGAATCAAAGATTGTGACTTAGGAGCAAAGTGTTGACGAAAACCATATGTAAGTAGATTCAACTATATGTTCTAACTACGCCCATCTCTCAGTGGAGAATGATAAAGATAGTTAAAAGGAGATGCCAGTCAAAATCATTCTCCTATTCCAAGCACATAAATGATATCCATTCGTAAGAGAGCTTGGATTTACATCAGATGTCTGGATTTCTCAGTAATCAGGAGAAAGAGGAGACAAAACAATGTAACGTAGCCTCAAAATGACAAATTCGTGGCGATGACTACTGATACTTGAGCCGAATCACTTTCTACTACTACCAACTTTTCTTAATCAACGGTAATTAGGGAAAGAAATTTACCGGAACAGGTTTTCTTCTTAGGATGACGAATTCCTCAGCACGCATCATGATAAAGCGCATAAACTTGTGACAGATGATACGATCGATCTCGTCAGACTGCTTGATGGCGATGCTAACGCGGACCGAATTGATGGATCCCTCGATAAGGACGCGTTCCCGCTCGTTGCGACTAACAACAACGGGATTGAGGAGCAATTCTTTTGATGTCTGGACCTCTATCTCGGGTTTATTGTGGCGTTCCACCACCTGAGAAGGGAAGTTTTCGATACACAGCGCCGCAGTCAGAGTTGCTCGAACCGCGTTCAAGTATGGCTTGGCTGTCTGAGGATGGATGAACGAAAGAGGGAGGCAGATCAGACTAAAGGTTTCGATGCATCGTCAATCCGTTTTAGAGACAGATTTGAAACAAAAGCTTGCTCAAATTATAACCAAACAGCAAAGAACCAACAATAAATCCGCATATGCTAAATATACGCAAATAGAGTATGCTAACCAGTGTATTAAAAAGGCACTAATAAGATCCAAAAGACCATTTACTCAATAAAATTAAAATATAAGAAGCAAAGGTATGAGACGTTAAACCAAATACAACTTGGATACAGACCCAATTAAAAATTTCACACGGAAACGCGGGTGCAAAGATAGATACCTCTGCAGAATAACTATAGTCAACTGCCTAGTCTGAAAGTTATGAAGTGCAACGCCAAGACTAAACGAACCATCGCTTCCGTTAATGACAAGTCAAAACTTCACCTTAGCCTATGATCGATTATAACATATCCCAGACTTGTGTAAACAACAAGCTTTAAGCATACTCACTATAAGTCTAAAGCTGTACCAGTAAATTGTATTCCAAATTTTAAAACGTGGGAATCGACAAAGAATGTTAAAAGGAACAGGGAAACCAAATCCAAACCAATAATAAAACCAGATGATGCGTTATATTAGCTCAACACTACAGAGCTAGGGCTGCTATAGCGTCCTGGGACTTTCCATTGGGTGGAAGAAGTCAGTAAGTGGAGCTAAGTTATGTATTCCAAAGAGAACAAAGTAGTAAGGCCTGGGCATGGCCCGAAGGCCAGCCCAAAAATACAAGAGTCAGATAAATCTTGAAGCGTTACACTGATGGCTTGGTATTCGTCCTTGCGCGGGGCTGTACTAAATTCGTCCTCTTAAATGAGAGAAAGCATAGAAATAGACCGGCTCACGAGTACAAGGGTCCGACAAATCCTAAAGTGACCGCCAGAAGTCATGTGCTCACACAAACAAAGCATTAAAGATGTTACTACCTTATGTCTGACAGTTACGCGTGAGTCGGCCAACGGGCCAAATTCAAGTCTTGTTCCTTTTATT